TATCCAATAGAAATACTAATATATATAATTCAATAATAATTAATATAAATCTTATCCAATAAGATTGTTCGTTAAATATCATATCATGACAATATATATAATTCAGTATACTCAAATACACCTATACTTCCCTTACTTTTGTTCTCAACTACTACGAAGTTATTCCTCAGATCATATGTGTGTTCAAATTTGTTCGAATTAAGCAGATTCATATACTGAGAGGGATTATCTGTGAACTTATCCATCATTTTATGCATATTGTTTCTCAACTTAGTCATATTACCTATATACACATTTACTCAATTCAAATTTGGATGAGATATGCAACATAATACGTAAAAATAGATAATCTAGTTTGCACTTTATATGTCAATTAATAAACTTATTTACCTTAAGATCAGGAGAGATGATTAATTTATTTCTTGTGGCATTTTCGTTTGGAACGTTTCTTTACAACCACAGTCTTATATTCACATATACCTTTTGGATCTGAATTGGAGGAACAAGAAGTACTTTTATTGGAAGTATCAGAATTAGAGTTAGTATCTGAATTCATAGAATACTTGATATCACTTTTCTTGCTCTTATTTTGGTGTAAGCGAGAATTTGAAGAATCTGATTCATTATCCTTTAACTGTACTAACTCTGCTTTCTTTCTACGTCTCAGTTCATTTTCAATATTACAAAGTCTTTCAAAAATTTCATACTTTATATCATTTTCTATAGAATGAACTAACTTTCAAATATTATTGAGATGCGTTTTAATTGAAAGCTTTCCATCCCCATAACCTAAATCTACTTTAGGATATTTCTTAATTTTGCTAGCTTTGCTATTTTTGGAAACATGAATTTTTCTGTGTGTTAGAAATACAGGAGATATGTTGCAAAATATTTCATAATGACTCTTTTGGTGTTTATTATCTTGAATATTTGAGATTTCTTAATCATATTCGTGATCTTTTGCAATAATAAATCAGACTTAGATGAGTTATTTTTAGTGGAGCTGGCTTTATAACTCAAAGAATCATCTATAAATCTGCTATCTTTTTTGATTAATGAGATACTTATATCATCTATTACAATTTTAGCATGATAAATATAGATTTTGAAAGAATATTCAAAGCTTATTTTTGCTTCATGCATTCATAAACAATCTTGCTCCAACACTAGATTAAATAATAGATTTTTATGAATTTGAAAGTTTATTAGTTCAGTATCATCTAAGTTTTACCACTTTCTTTTAATATGAAACTGTAAATCTAAGCCTTTTATTTCTTCACCTATTAGATTATCACCAATCACACCTTTTATCTATAATCAGATTCAAGCTTATTGAACAAGTGTTTGCTAATAATATTAGATTTAAATATTATATCTATTAATATTTTAATTGGGATTTTTTTTCGACAAGAGAATTTATGAATATTAGTAAATAATATATTATGTACTATATCTTTATTTGAAAAAATAACTAATAAATAATTATATATTCTCTTTACTAAATGTGATTATTTGTAATTCATAATGGGTAATTAGAATTAATTTCACAATTACTATTATCTATCTTTATCTGTAAAGATTACAAATAGATAACAAATTTTTGGTGCTTCCTCTATAGAGCAAAAATTACAAAGAAAAATGAGATTCAACAAGATCAACAACAATAAAAGTACAAAGACAATTTTGCTTATTTATAATTGTGTTAATAACTAAAGAATTATTCAATAATGATAAAACTCACTTATTTAATCTAATAGAAACTCTTTTTGTTTGACAACTACTCAGACAAAATACTAACACAACTAATCTTTAATAACAGCAACAAAACTCCACTTGAAATAATTAATTATATTCAAAACTTTTGTGAAGATATTATCAACTTTAACCAATATCAAACTTGCTACTTATAACAACAAACAACCACAACAAAAAGAGCTGAAAGAACACAAAAAAGATAACAAACTTGACAAATTCAACAATTATAACAGCAAACTTAGCAAAATCAACAACAAATATAACAATCTACATCTCCACCACAACAAGATAATCAAATGGCAAACAAAGCAATTAGACATATGGCTAAAGCTATTAATGCAATGATTGCACAACAAAATCAACAAACTAAATACAATAATCTATCATTATCAACCTTTCAAGATAATGGAACTGATGATCCAATTACCTGATTTGAAGAATTCAATCACTGTGCTGAAGCAAATAATATAACCAATGCAAGAAAGATTACAGTGATACCTGCATATCTTAAAGATATTGCTAGCAATTGGTATGAACAGCGAAAACAAGCACATAATGATTGGTCTCAATTTTAGGTTCGTTATAATCAGATTCGACTGAATTGCGAACCAATCAAAATTCGCAGTTCTTGAGGATTATTTGGCCCGGAAAAAACGCACATGTTATCTTTTCGAATACTAAGTATGATTCATTACACGTATCCACAAAAAATTCAACTACTGAGAAAATTAAAATTCAGAAAAACTCTTCAATTACTACGCAAATTCTCATCTTCATCGTCTTTTTCTACATCTTCAGAAATAAAAGAAGTTCGGTTGCTTTACGGAACATGGCAAGATCCATTTTGTGTATGCTACAAGCCACCAGGTTGAAATTAATTCAATCGAAAAAAAAACGATTGATTGGAAATTAACGAAATTAACTTCGATTTTAGGTATGGCTGTACAAGATAATAATCCATCACGTGTTTCTCTAGTTCGAACAATTAAAAATTTGTGTGGAAGGCAAGCGTTTACGGTGCATCGGTAAATATCATAACGACTGAACCACGTGATCTAACAACATTTACCAAGGAACCTCGAAACACGACGCCTTTTTCTTTGATTCGCTATTAATTAACTTAACCATCAAATATAATAAAAGGCTTGACAAAAATACTCAGGTGTAATCAACGAATCAATAAAAATAATTGTCAATCAAATAATCAATCATTTGATTAAATTACAAATTAATTTTCTAAAGGGTCCACTTGTTTTAGCATTCGAAAAAGAGATTGCACGTATCTTATCAGATACGCTCGCGAATGGTCTCTGGCAGAAATGGTATCGAGCCCTAGTAAAAATCCCATTAGACGTGACGCGGCCTCCGAGACAATCGTTGTATCAACAAGGATCGTTGATTGCGCCGAATGGTCAATTAGTCAAACATGGAAAAATCACTAGTTGGATTAAAAGGTTCCTTTACTATATTATAATTATTCACTTACCTGTAATCAATATACTTGTTATTATTGTTATATTATATAAATCAGATGTCCACCAATAATTCGCCCAAATTTCAGTCCACGTCAACCATGGACAGACTTAGTTCCCGATCTTTCGGAAATCACATTCAGAATTCCATCACCAGCACCAAAGAACCATCCATCTCATCCAGCTCCGCCAATAAACCCACTCAATCTGACGGTTATAAATTTCTACAAACAGAAATTAACCTTTGATCTTGTCCAAACTCAACTTGAAAACGCATATTTCTTTCATTCTGCTCCGCCATTCTGCCCCGCAACAAAATTAAGTATCACAGAATTTTGGCTACGTGATGTATTTTCTTTGGCAGACTACTCTGATACGACGAATAACAATAACCAAAACTACAGAAACGAAGATAATAATAGTAGCTCACCTAATCATAAAGATAAAGTTGGAGCTGGTTATGATTATGATTATGATCATAATAGTAGTCGTCGTCATCAAAAAATCGGTTTATACGATATTTATTTGCACACCGGGCGAACTCACCAAATTCGTCTACATTTTGCTGAATCTGGGTGCCCGATTCTCGGGGACGAAGTCTATGAAGATCTGATCGGGAAACGTAAACAGTATAATGAAAATAAGTATCTCGCATTGCAAGCATATAAATTAAGATTACCTCATCCATGGAAACGGTGGGAGTGGATAGAATGCGAAGTTAATATGCCAAATGATAAAGAATGGTTAAAGAATATAAATTTCAATAATAGTAACAACTAATAAAATTTCTATTGAATTATTCAACACGTATATATAAAAAATCTACATAAATATTTCAATTTAGTATGTAATGTATTCTAATAATATACTGAAATTCCTAGAAATAAAGTTCATATCTAATTATTGTATAAAATATTACAAGATGAATAATATTTTTTCTAATACTATACAAGTACCACCCACCTCTTTTCTCTTTTTATACCTCATTTCCATCTCCACTGCCAAATCAAGATTCGTTTCTTTCACAAAAATGATTAGCCATTGGCATCACTGATATCCAGAAATAACAACTCCCGAAAATATTTGAGCAACCAAATTCCAATCATGGGTTATTTATCATTTCTATTTTTTATTTGATGATTTTTTTATTTATTTATCTATCAACAAATTCCCACCATCCACAATCCACGCAATCCTTTTCCGGCTCACATGTTGGAACCTTTTCCCACACGGATAGCACTTTCTCAATAACATCCTTTACACGATGTGTACGAATATCCAATTTCCAGCCTAGTTCTTTAATTGCGTCGTATAGACAAACTTTCCCGGTGTGACATTTACTTTCCATCTAATTAAAAGAAAAAGTCAAGGTTGATTATTTTTTTATTTTGAACATGTATCATCATTGAAAAATTAATATATCGCATACCGCATATCCACCCAACCAGCAACTACTCGGAACGCCCTGAAATAACCCAAATATTATCATATTAATTAAAAAAAATAAAAAAATAACCTACTCACGCAACAAATAAAAAAATTCCACTCACATTACAAGCTCCCATAAATATCGGATCTGCAGTATGTCCAACATGCCAAATCGGCATCTCTTGATAAGGCAAAGCTGGTGGTCCAGGTAAATGTAACCGTCGAGCAGCCAACTGTTCTCCGGGTGCCTCATACCCAACAACGGGAACTCCATAAGTCCAGCCAAGCAACCCGGATAATCCCCCACCAAGAGAGTGACCAGTGAGCCATACAGCAGCATTTGGATAATTATCCTGAATAAATTCCCATAATCTCTATTTTATATATAAATATTTTAGTGTCTTATTTTTAGATCTTTGGGAATTCAAATATTAGAAAAATTAAAAATTAGATATTAACCGTTGCTGCGTCAAAATAAAAGCCATCTTCGTCTACACTAATTTCCAAGCATCTTTGATCGCATTGGCTATTGCCCATATAACAATCACATACTGGACTCCATGATGGTCCAACTCGTGCACAGCAACACGAGAAAAGTCGATTATCCTAAAATTTACAAAATTAACAATTTGAAGAATATAACAAAAAAATAAGATAACAGAAGAACGCTTACATTTTTCTTATCTTTTGGTACGGTCGGCCCACCTCCCATCATACTAGTTCCCTTAATTGCAATGATTACTGTTTCATTCTTTGGGTCAGCAAACACATGGCCCCTAATACCATCTTCTTCCCAACCAAATGGCTCATTCTATGAAGCAGGATAGAAATACAATAAAAACATTAGAGCAAATTACTAAATAAATGAAAGTATTGTAATAACAAATCTGATTAAAAAGTTCATATTATAAATACTAAAAATTCCCTCTCCCATCAATCAGAAAAGTTAAACAAAACCTGAAGAGAAACCCACCCATCCATACTTTTCCTCCAGGTCGTACCAATCATCACTACCAATGGGAATATATGCATTATACGTCATCTTAGCAAGAGCAATCACCGTTTCCTTATCATTCATATCAGGAACCACTATTGGCTCAGACTTATAATCTAGCTTTAATGAAAACTTGTTATATTTATCTTGTTTTTGATACTCTTTAACTTTATTAACGTCATGCAGTTTCATAGTTGTTCCCATTACACCGCGAACTGTGTGCGTGAACTGTATCCCTGACGATAACGAAAGTGCATTCAAGCGTGTCTCATCGATGTCGAGACGACGCACCAGTTTCGGGTAACTGGTTGAACCATGGTGGAAAATTTGACGTAGTGAAAGTGTTGTCTCGAAGTAGTCTTCGTTTTTTTTTGAACTTGTGGTAAGCTTTGAATTTGAAGGAGTTGATATGGACTTCTTTTGTCGTGGAGAACGCATACCAAAAAAGTAGATCAATGTGAGAAAGCCCACCACGAAAAGGAAGATGCATTTGGTCAAGTTACTCCACTTTCGATTCATAAGTTTTCTTGGGTTGACTGATGTGAACTCTTAAGGTAGATATTCAGCGGTGTCTCTCCTTTTAGTTCTGAATAACTCGGTAACAGATTGATTTGTAAATGTGAACTAACAATTGATAATAGAGAAAATGAGGTATTTCAGAAAATTCGTAATATAATAAAAATGCAGAATTTATATTTTCAATGCATTTCCAACAGCAAAACTCTTTAAAAGTATCAAACTGCGCTTTCATATATAAAATAGTGTTGTTAGAATCTAGTTTGATGATTCTAAAGTAAAAATACAATATCTACGTATTCAATATGTATTTAGCACTTTAGGCTGAAACGGGCCAGGTGATCTGGTAATATGTTGATCTGCGCATCTTATATAATCAAATGGATCGAAGTAGCAGGGCTGTTATTGATTTAAAGAAATTGTTATCATCAAAACTACATAAATTTACATACAAATCTATATTTGGTTAATTAAATTCGCATCTTCATATCCGCATAAACTTGTTTTACTGCTTGCATATCTCCGTGCTTCCAGAATGCTTTTAGAAACATCAAGTAAGTTGTTCGTGTCAATTGAATTTTTTCAGTTAGATCTTTTTTACCGCTTTTTCTGATAAATAGATCTACAATCTCATTGAATGATGATCCATTACTAATATCCCTATTATTACTCGTGGATGATGACGATGTCAATTCTTTATCGCGTATATCACGAAGTTTTGATGAGAATACTTTTTTGACACGAAAATTTCGCGTTATTCGATAAAGTAATCTAAATATTTCCTGATCAATTGGATCATAAGATGATGATGATATTTCCTGATCAATTGGATCATAGGATGATGGTTTCTGGTATTGTTGTAGTATAGTCTCTTTAGATAACAAGATATTCGAATTGTACGAATTTTTTTCTCTCCAAGGAATAAATTTATCGTCCTTAATTGACACACCCTTCCCACGTTCATGAAACCAATCGTATAGTTCGCGTAATTTGGGTAATGATGTGTATCGCTGAGTAATCAATCTTCCGCATAAAATGCTTACTGTTCGCATATCTGGATCAAATGAATACTCATTTAATAATTGTTCGTATGCATATGCAGCTTTATTCCATGTACGTTTCCATATGAATCCACTTAAGAGTATATGAAACGTTCGTATATCAGGTTTAATATTAAGCTGTTTCATCTTGTCTAATTTTGAATAAGCCTCTTCCATCCGGCCGCGGCGTACTGTTGACTTTATTATCATGTTGAATGTATCGACATTCGGGGGTATATTATAATGGTCAAGCATTCTCTTTATGATATTTTGCACCTCTTCATTTTTTCGTCGTTTCACGAGGCCGGATATTAAGGCATTCAAAGTTTCAATGGTAGGTTTGAGCCTGGCTTGTAATAAATTCGAGAATACCTGTTCAGCAAATTGCTGATGTCGCGTGACTGATGAACATTTAATTACGATATTATATACTTGTAAATTCAATCGACATCGACTCCTCTTAAAGTAACGATGCCGTAAGTAGCAATATATCTGCCAAACTATTGGAAAATCTGTTTTTTTCCCAAATGCTTCCAAAAGCGACTGTCCCACGAAAAGACTCACATCAATTCGTCGTGACAACATAAATTGAAAAATATAATAAGCACATTCTAAACTATCCCGTCGTATGCATTTCAAAATGATGTATGAAAAACAGTTCAATGGATTTTGTTGTTTTGACAATTTTGTCAGCAGTTTTTGTGCGAGATTTGGGGTTGACGTTTTAAGACTCGCTTCAATGACGCCTTGATAAATTGTTTGATAGGCGGGTAAATCGAATTCTACTTGTTCGTAGTTTTCGACAAATTGATCAAATATTTGTATCGCTTCTTGAGGTTGAGACGAGTCGAGGTAGCCATAGATTAGCGAATGGAAGGCGGTCATCGGTGGTCGTATGCCAGAGTCGATCATTTTATAGAAGTAGCGACACGCCTCGTCAACGTTGTTTTCTTTTATGTAACCTCGTATTAGAGTATTGTAGGTTATCCGATCCGGCTCAATTTTCATAGCTAGTAAACGGTTGAATACTTGTGCCGCTAATTCCATTTCACCAAATTTACAGAATCCAAAGATAAATCCATTACAAATTACCAGATTTGAATTGAGCTTGGAAATCGATTCCGTCTTTTGGTACAAGGACTTGAATAGATTAACGTCTGAAAAAGCGACAGATCCTTTTAATAATATGCTCAAAGTAAAAGTATCAGGCTCATGATTTGCACGTTGCATATCCTCTAATACTTTTTTCATATACATATGATTGTTCTTTTTAACAAAAATATTCAATAAATTATTATAAATATCTAATGGAAATTGTATATTTGCGGCGGATGCATAGTCGTAAATCGAAATTAATTTCTCAAGATTTTTTTCGTCAAAATTTCCACCGAGGAATGAACTGATTAATATGATGTGTGTCACCGAGTCACCTTTAAATCCTAACGTTTTCATATGCTCATACAGATCCAGTCCGAATCTCAGTTTCTTTTTCGAGCATAGTTCTAGAAATTCATTGACTATTGATATGTCCGAGTTTTCCTTTGGCCAGAGAGCCTCAGGAATGTTATTGTTTGTATTTTTAGCAAGCTCGAAATAAAAACTTCGAGCAAGTTGTTCATCACCTCGATTCAAAAATCCACGAATTATCATCTCATAAAGATCTTGATCCGGTTTAATTCCGTATGCTTGCATACTTCTAAAGAGTAAACTAGCATTAGTCATTTCTTGACGCCGTACATATCCTTTTATAATCGCGAATGGAGATCTATAGTCCATCCGTAATCCGGTCGCCAATAATTTCTCCAAAATAAACTCTGCAGCAGCCGGCCCATTCTTTTCAATAACATTCAAAGTAATAGAATAACACAACGAAGGATCGATGTCCAATCCATAATGTCTCATCTCTTTAATTAAATAGCCAATTTTCCCAAAGGAGTACTCATCAAACAAACTAGCTTCAATCAATGTCCGGAATGTGTCAAAATCTGGTCGTAATTTACACGAAACTATTTCTCTGTACACAATATACGCCTCTTCCAACCTCTCGTGTTTGATGTGACATTGCATCATAATAGTAAATGTTACAGTATTGGGTTTTATTTCGGCAGCACGCATTTCTTGCCAAATTCCCATTATGCCATCAAAATTATCATCACGTACCGCGGCAGAAAGAAGAATATTATAGGCTGTGATGTCTTTTCTTATGGATTGGGGAAATTTTTCATGCAGTACTTGTAGACCTGTTTCGTAACCTTTATGCTCACAAGTAGCGTGTAAAATGATATTCAGAGTTCGGATGGTAGGCGGTATGTTAAATGTGTGCATGTCTTTATAAATATCCAGCGCGTTTTTCCAATAGCCTCGGGAACATTGTAATTTAATGATTTTGTTGAAAAAACTTGTGGGAATGTCTTTTGGAAAATTAGAGTATTTAAGTCGTTTGTAAACTTCTATCGCTCCCGTATAATCATGATTTGTAAGGTAGGCATCGATCAAGTGATTAAATGTCGCCCCATTAGGAATCATTCCACGCGCTTGAAGATCCAAAAAAGCCTTTACTGCGTTCGTTAAATCTTTCTGTTTGCCAAGCGCTATAATCAACATATGGTAATGATCCAGCTTGTATTCCAATTTTAAATTCTTCATATCTTCAAGCACAATGATCAAATGTCCCCATTTGGGTTGATATTTATGTCCATTATGATTCAAGACGCGAAGAATTTCATCAAACTCATTTAACTCTATTAGTGATTTTTCACTAAACTCGAGCGCTACGTATAAATTCCACATATGCGTCAGTAAATTAGGATTCAGATAAAATCCCTTTGTAGCTAGTCGACTACATTGGCTCAATATTCTGCGAAATTCCTTTATGCCTGAAACGGTTTCAACTTTTGTGCTCTCTGACAACGGCAATGATGGTCCATTCTGTTGGTGAGCATCAATATTCAGATGTCGAGAGATTATAAAATTCCATGCTATAGATTTTTTATCAGTCAGAAATTTCTTTGCTGGACTAATAAAAGAATTATTGGTAATAGTTATAGTAGTGTAGATATTCTTTTCCGAGAATTTTTGTAAGGAACAGGTCGAGTACGGTTGGTATCTTTGGTACCTTCTGGTGCGAGTAGACCTTGCAAGCGTTATGTGAAATTCTTGAGCAAGTGCAAGTGTTCTTTGCACCAGTTTCATTATTAGCATAAACAACGCTTTAATGTCAAAACGCGAAACCTGTTTTGAAAAGTTTAATTTTTTGAATAAATGCGAGCAGTCGATCCATCAGATAGCCTAACTTAGCGATAATTGAGTATATAATTTCTTTGGTATAATGATTCTTTGGTATAATGATTATTAACGTTAATTGTTCTGATCATTATCGTTATATTGAAATTTGATGTTATAATAATTATACTTGCTATTCAAATCACAATTTTATTTTAAACAATTCTATTAATAAAAATTATCAAAATTATTTTATATATAATTAAACTGCCTTATGTTTAGCATTATAATAATAGAGAATTTTATTAACAAAATTTATTTTGCTAATATATCAGTTTTCATCAAAGTATATATGAAATACTGACATGACATATTTGAGATAAGTGTATTAAAGCTTCTATATAATGAATAAATGAATTAATATTTTGTCTCCTTTAGATCTATCTTTTAGACAATTTAATTATTATAATTTCAAATAGAAATATGACCTTAGAGAAAAATTACAAAGCGAGTAAAATTTGATAATGAAATACACCCTCAAAATGCAATCACATTCATAGAGAAATAAAATGATTTTGATTTTTGCATTTTATATATGCAACTACTATACAAATTAAATTAATTTTCATTTAATATCTTCATTGTCATCCTCATCATCATCATCATCACTTTCTTCGTCAACTTCTGTATTGTCTTCTGATTCCCCATCTTCAATATCCATATTTTCCCAATCTGCTTCCTCGTTTAATTGTGGTTCAATTGAAGAATCATTTTCTACACTCTTCTTCCATCTCAAAGCTTGTTCTCTTAATGACTTGTACACTATGCGTCCGTCGTTAAAAATGTGCGAGGATACAATAAAAATTATATTAGAAATACTTAAAAAGAAATATAAAAATCAGAATAATAAAATACATTGTTTCTCCGTTTCATCAAACTTATTTTCTATTTCAGATTCCTCTTTGCTGTCGGTGGAAAATGCATGATTGATAATTTCTCGAGTTCGGTCTTTATAACTCTAAATTTTTGCAGAACGTAAAAAAGTAAAAAATCAATAAATTCTTCAGGTATCATCATCATCATAGCATAATTACATCTACAAGCCTTTGGTATATCTCTTCATTTATAGAAGTGGATAAGTCAAGACTAAATTAGAAGGATCAAGAAAATAAATATACGACTATCAATGGTATTTTGGTCAATCATCTATTAGTTTGTCAAATAGAACAACAGTATTACTCTGCCATCATCTTAAATCCAAACAGATAAAAATAAGGACAAAGTTCTCTCAGATTTACGCTCATGGGCCCGGCTCTTAATGCATTCCTCACTCGTTTATTATATCTTTCAGGCATTTCCAGACCAACATATTCACTAGATAAATAACATGTTAAATGAATTGTCATAACAGAACTAAGAGAACAAAAAAATGAATAATTTTACTTAATCGCATAAGGATAAGCCATCCAATATGGCATTTCCATTTTCATCCCATCTTGAATCTACAAATAATAATAATAATAATAATAATGATGATAATAGCAAACTTTGATAATAACGAGGCAAATAATCCCAAGTATAAATGAAGAATCATACATGCATATCCCCATTATGAGTTTTATTGTTGAAAAGGATACTTGGAACGCGGCCTTTAAAATGGAAAAACACAGGGACTAACTTTGGAAAGTCACCTGGTCAGTTGCAAGTTAATAACGCTCGAGAGGTTTCACTTGACCTAAAAAAAACCACTAGAGACGCGCCTGGTCATCTGCAAGAAAAGAATCTGAGTCGAGATAATCATGAGGTAATATGTTTTGGTCCAGTTCGCCATTAAAATATGACATTCTTCAGTAATAGCGAGAAATTTTCCGTCAGGCGTGTTTTTTACGGCGCGCACTACTATTCCACCAATCATACTTTCTTGTGCGCTTATCACGTGATATCGTTGCATAAATTCTACCATGAACATTGTTCACCACCTTAGAAATGACCTCAAAAGATTCAACCCCATCGGGTTTACCCGAAAGCTTGTTTTTCGATGAGCAAAAGCTCAAAAATGCGGAAAACCCTGAAAAACAAGAATTATACCTCTTTAACTGGCTGGCAAACTTGGAAAGAGAGCTGAAAAAGATTAATAAGGTAATGATATAATTATTGAGTGGGCTCATGCATCAAAGTTTGCTTTATCAAGCAGAATACTTTTCAATTAAATTCTCTAAATTTTAGTTATAGGATACTTGAGAGATATATACGTAGAATTTCAAAGATTTTTTCTTCAAAGTAAATTAATTTCATGATAAGACTTTTCATTATGTTATTAGAAAAAATCATTGATTTTCTCAAAATAATTATCTATCTATCTATCTAATTAAACACGTTTTACAAAATATAAACTTATACCTTTATCCTGAATTAAAAATACATCTATATTGTACTATTCGAACAGGAGACACTTAAAGATAATCAAGCCAATCTCGAGAAGCAATTACTTAGGTTCATTTCACTTTCCTCTCCAAAACCTCATCGCCCCATTCGACAAATTATTGCGAGATGTTTTATATTCATATATGAGAATGGTGATACGCGAACGTTGTTTGATACTATTACTGCGTTACAAAGCTTAATTGGCACAGGGAAAGGAATTGGAGAAAAAGAGACGAAACTGTAAGAGCAAAAATAGCATACTTAAAAGTTGAAATTCAAAAATGCCGTAATATCAATTTCAATCTCGACTTTAGGGCTGCTTTACATTGTATTGGACATATTATGAAATCAGTCGGTGATAAAGTTTTATCACTCTTGCCTGAAACTGTTAATATATGTTTGAAGACCATAAAGAATACAACGAATGTTAGAAGAAATCTTTGTTTTTTTTTTTTACTTTAATATGAAATACTTCTAAAATATCATATTTGTTAGGCCCTAATAGTTCGGCTGGAGGCTATATATACGATAACACGAGCTTTGGAAGGGGCTGGTAAGGGTTCATCTGAACCCGTTATTAAAGATATCACCAAATGCTTGAAACTTAGTTTAACCGACAAAGCTCTGATTATAAGAGTTGCTTCAGTTGAGGTAATGGTTATTCAGAATAATTAAAATTGGGTACAAATTCATCAAATTAATTACTAAGTGACTACGAAAAAATAGTGTATGCGAGCCATTATTAAATATGCACCTCAATCGGCTCCTACTGGTGAATTGGACTTGATGTTAAATCAAATGTTTAAAGTGCTGGACGGCTCTAATCAAACAATACGTCGTGCTGTTGCATCTTTTATTGCAACTTTATTAGCCGACACACAAGAAGATTCTGATAGTTTAATGCCAACCTCAACTTCATCTAATATCACTTCTTCGAAAGGAAAATCATCTGGACCGAATAACCAGAACACTACTTTAACGCCAGAGAGTCCAACTTCAGCTCTACCTCCTGAATCTTCCAAATCGCCGTTTATATCCCCGAACGAAATGTTATCACATCTCTCTACATTCTATAATAAATCTGCGACAACACGTGAAATGCGTGCAGCCATTGTTGAAACATATTCTACGTTATTTATACAACTAGGAACAAAATATGTTGAATCCAATTATGCGACTATAGCCCAACATTTATTGGGTGATCTTGTTTCAAACACGAGAAATGCATCTTCTCGTTACGAAGTGCTCAGTGTTCGTGAGCATTGCGGATTATTACTGCGAGATGTCATCGGAACACGATTACTCAGTGAACAAGGCCAAGTATTTGCTGTTCGAGAATTAGTGAATGGTTGGGTCAAAAAATGGCCAGCAATAATGCCTAATGATATAGAGCCTAACAAATTGGCTCTTGTATGTGCTGTTAACGAAATATCAGGATTATTATTGGATTTAGGTGGTGCTGCCAGTACAGTTCAGGTATCTCAACTTAATATCTCTTAAGATTTTTAAACATCAAACCAATTTTATTTATCATTTCTCGATTATTTATTTAGGATGTTCTAATAGAACCTTTAATAACACTTCTCGGTCATCCTAGTTATTCTGTTCAGATTTCAACTGCTTGGTGTCTTCGATGTTTATGCTTTTCATTACCATCCAAACTATCTGAGCTTATTACAAACGTCTTGGATCATCTTAACAAAGACTTGAAAGACTTGAACACTTTTATCGGTCCATCGACACCTTTGGATTTATTTAAACGGACTTTAGGTCATGCACATGGTTTAGCTGCTCTAATGAGTGTCATTCGAGATAGACCACTTGATGTAGATTTTGAAGTGAGCGCGCGTGTTTTCTCTCTATCTACGCAACTCATCAAAGCAAGCTCTAATAGAGAGTTGCGGGTGGCAAGTTTACATATTCAAGTGGCATGGACTTTAATTGGCTCTCTTATGTGCTTGGGACCGAACTTTGTAAAGCTTCATTTACCCCAGCTACTGTTGCTTTGGAAAACAGTTTTACCGAAGCCATCCTCAAAAGAAACACATCCAAATCATACTGAATTAGAATGGACTTTTATGTTCCATGTCCGTGAATGCGTCTTGAGTGCAATGTTATGCTTTTTATTGCACAATGCTAAATTAGTGACTGCTGATGTAGCAAAACGACTTGTTGCGTTACTGAACAATACCCTCACTTTTATTAGTCTGATTCCTTCATCATTTCAAAATCCTCAGCCTAATTCCTTACCTTTACCGTCTTCCTTAAAATTTTCCGAGCGTGATAATATGCTACGTCGTAGAATATTCCAGTGTTTTGTTGCTATTCGACCAGTGTCAGCCTATGAAAATTTATCGTCGCAATTATTGCAGATGAGTCTATCTAATTTTGCGGATCCCGAGAAACATGTTGGATCGACTATCACAGCTGCAATTGCGGCAGTTTCTGGCAGCTTCACTAGTGTTTGGACGGCGAGTGATGAATATGCATTTGGAGTTTCAAGTAAACTACGAGGAATGGATATTGATTTCCGGAATATTGATGGTAATCCAGATGACAATGTTGGAACAAGTAGGGATTGGCTTAATAGAGATCTAGTGGAAAGTAAAGTTGAAAGTCAGGTTTGTCTTTTACTTTTCATTTATTTTTCAATTATTGAATTATTGCTCTAAAGGTTGGTTTTTGTTGATTAGCTTGAACAGCCAGTGTTGGGTGCTCCCGAACATGATTCACTGATGATTTACACCACTTACTGGTCATCATCTTTTTCGACATTTCAATTGCCTAAACCTGTGCCACCAGCTACCGTTTTGGTCGATTCAAGCATTGAATTTTTTGCTACAGTTTTTCCACTTCAAAATGCAGCTGTTCAGGAATCTCTTTTTGAACAGCTGATAAAAGTAGTTAGACATCCAAAGTTAGAAAAAAGTCCTGGGCGAAAAATGGCAGTTCAAGTTAACATGGTGATTGGATTATTAGGCACTTTTAAAGTTATCATGTCGGCATCGAGTAGGCGTGGTGATAGTGGCACTCCAATGATTGCTCACAAGAAAGTCGGCGCATTAGCTATGGAGCTTTTACAGGCAGGTCTTTAAAAAATCACTTTCCTTTTAATCAATAATTATCCTTTATTGATGTGTATTTAAATTTCTTTGATTATAGGAAGCTATTGTCCATCCGGATCCATATCTACGAAATGCAGCCAGTGATGCATTAGGTCGCTTGATAAGTATTGTAGGTGGCAATCTAATTCCGACACAGATTCAACTTTTAGTCGATCAAGTTGTGAATAATCGTGATCCTGATACAAGGGCCGGAAGTGCTTTGGCCTTAGGAAACATTTATAGCCATGTCGGTGGGATGGCAGCGGGAAATCACCTAAAGACATTAGTTGGGATATTGCTTTCCTTAAGTAAAGATCCTCATCCCGTAGTTCATTTTTGGGCGTTATATGCACTCGCCAAAACTATCGAATCAGCTGGCTTAATGTTCTCGCAGTATGTTAGTAGTACAATCGCTACTATTGCTAAACTATATATGGCTGAAACACATGAACCTGGTGGAGGGTCAGTCGCAACGACGAACGTTGGATTAGGATTATCAGCTTATCAACAATTTGGAAAAATAATATTCGGTCTTATTGGCACGCTCGGACCAGAATTACAAGCTCATTCCATAGTCCGAGATCTTTGTCTTAATTTGACCGGAGAATTAAAGAATGATGATGAACAGCTTGTTATAGTGGAATCTATTCGTTGTCTACAGCATTTCATTATGTTTGCTCATCAATATGTAGATTTACCTGACCTGATTAGATTTTTGCAATCGCAACTTTCTAGTATGCATTTGCCTCTAAAGAAAGTTGCAGTCACATGCCTATATCAATTAGTACAACGTAATGCCAGACACGTATTTGAAATGGCTTCACCTGGTCTCGATCAACAATTATTCTCTTTACTGGACACTGATCCAACCGTGGATGGAGTCAAGGATATTGTAATAAGTTGGCTAAATCAGACTGCCATTGAAACTCCATCCATTTGGGTAGAATTATGTAGAAAAGTGATGTCAAAAACAGGATCAGTGGCAAGCGCTGGTGCACCGGTTCAACCTCCTTCTTTAGATATAGGCAGGGGAGATGATGACATTATTGATGAGGAGGGTGACGGATTTGATATTGGACAAACTATTGCTATACCTCCAAAGCATCGTAATCTAGAAAAGACAACAGCATCAGACGCAGTCCAAATCCCTCCGCGATGGAGAACGCAATTCTTTGCTTTGCGGTGTCTTCATCAAGTTGTTGAAGCAATTTATGTAAATGGCAATAAAGATCATTTTAATTTAGCAAAAGCGAAGGAAGGTAAAAGAGAAGGAAAGGATTATTTGGTCCTGAGGATTGCTGATCTCATTAAAATGGCGTTTACGGCATCAACCGCTGTTGTTAGTGAAATGCGGTTAGAAGGACTTACTGTACTTCGAGATGTTATTGAGGTAATTATATGAAGTTTTTTTTTTTAATTAATCTATGTTTGAAATTAATTGATTTTTTACCTTTTTTTTAGAAATTTGCTGCTACTCCCGATCCTGATTACGAAGAAGCTGTTCTATTAGAACAATATCAGGTTTCTTATTAAATTCGAGACTTTTTCATAAATTTTCTCAAATAATAATGTTTTATGCTGTTTTATAGGCTCAGATCGGAGCAGCTCTAACTCCCGCTTTCTCAGGTGATACATCACCGGAAATTCTTTCAGCTGCCGTAAAAGTTTGTGCAGTATTTGTCGGTAGTGGAATTGTTAAAGAACTTTATCGAATGGGTCGCATTTTGAAATTATTGACCACCGCACTGGAAAACTCTAAAGGTGAGCACAAAATAACACCAAATAATAGTGAAAATTAAATTGAAAGTTTCCGTTAATTGATGTGTATATATATACTCTTATTAATTAATATAGAAGATTCGAGTATCACTACTGTGGCAGGTGTCAAAGATTTGAGTCCACATGCATCTATAATGGTTAAACTCTCAGTTTTAAATGCATGGGCTGAACTTCAAGTCGCCAGCACCAAACAATCGTATCTAGTCCAAGTTGTCGAACCGTATCCTTAATATTAGATTCGTGTCCTTAAACTTTGTCAAATTCAAACAAATTTTCCTTGACTAGATTATAGAAATCTTCGATTACTATGTCCTTTGTGGGTAGGTGCATTGCGAGATTATGCACGAGTGCAAGTTGAACCCGAAATCGAGTCACAAGCGAATTCAAATGCAAGTACTATACCTAATGCTCAAAATGATGGTTTTGATTCAATGTATATTGGTCTGACGAGAGAAGTTATTTTGCCGGTATTGTATCCTCTCATTTTACTCATCGCTATTCGAAAATCCTTTTTTATAAAATAATCAAATCCATGAATTTTTTTAGTATTACAACAGATCTTGGTTAAAAATACTCGCGGCTATTGCAAGTCTTGTCGATGTCAATAATAATCTAATTATAAGTGCAATTAACGGCGATAATTGTGTTGAGGATAAAAAGATACCTGATAATAAAGATAACCAAGAAAACTTTGATGACTTTTTAGCTTTTGAGAACGAGTCAAAGACTATTGGTTCATCAGATAAAGACATTATTGAGAATACGAAATCAAATGATACTACAAAATATTTTTATATTCTATTTGGACTTTGTGTCGAAGCTTTATCTAAAACATTCGGTGGAAGTAACAATAGTAGAGAGGATCAAATCGTTGTTCTGACATGCCTTGATGCATTAAAAGCTTTATTGCGACCGGTATCTGCGGGTCGTGCCTTCCTTGAAAAACCTATCTTCATCGAATTAATTAATTTATTGGATCGACTAGCGCTTACGGAAGGATTTAAAGCTCAATATGTGATTATTCAAATTATAAAAGAAATGATAACTTTTTATGGTCCTGATTATTTATGCAATGATTTGAAGAGTATAAGGTACGTCATTAAACTTTATCTATATACCGATTATTATCACTTTCTAATGATACCTGTATTAATTATGTGCGCTTTAGAAATCAACCTAACGGTCATTTGCAAAATAAGATTTTGACTAAAGAAAAATCAGACACCAAAATATATCACATTCTACGATTGCTCACCAATATATTTTTCCAGAAAATTCCTTCCTTGTCATCACGATCGACTGCTATGAGAGTATTTCGGGCTCAAGCAAACACAAGAGCTCAACCTTCCCAAGAAACCATACTAGTATTGAAAAATTCATTGGAAGCACTGACTTCGCTCATTTCCATTGTACCTTCTAAATACAAAATTGACTTAAGTGCCATTGTATTCTATATTTTCATATGTATGTCAATTTACTTTATCTGAGCCTAGTTTAAAATAGTACATATTTAAAGAAACTAACCCAACTCCTTCTTTCTATCTATAGCTATCATTCATGATGAAAAGTTTCAGAATGATCTTGTGCCTCATGTGTTAGTAAATGTAAAGACTTTATGCGAAAATCTTGAGGCTACTATTGAAGATGAAGATTTGCAAGGATTTTCTCGTGTAATTGATTCGACTATCATGTCGTTGCTTTCTCGGATTCAATCATTCCTTTTGAATGGGTATTTTTTTTAATAGTTGCATTTATTGTCGTTTCTATATAGCAATAATGAAATTATCTAATAAATTGTTTTTTAAAATAATAGCACAATTCAACCTGAACTATCTGAAGATGACGTTTCAATTGTAAAGAACAGTCTCTTGGCAATAGTTTTAGTGTTATCGACATGTACCAAGGCAAATTTTAATGTAGCCCTACAAAATGATTTCACCGAGATTCTAAAAAATGGATATTATTGGGAAAAACTACCGGTATGTGCTATTTATTTAATAAAACTTATTTATTTTTATCGAAACGTATAGACGTTAACCAATTGCTGACTACAATTAGATTGCGATTACATCTTTGCAATGTACTCGCACTTTGGTAATGCTTGCAACGAAAAACACAAATCCAATCACGGTGGAAGTCAGTCACCACTTTACTAAATCCCTAATGCCACAAGTAGCATTATTTCTACATAGTATCAAAGAATCAGTTTCAAATCTGACACGATCACATCCGAAATTCACAGTAATCGAAGAAGCAATAAAGACATTGCTTGCTTTGTATACAGCCGCGGCCGAAGAACACAGTAATTACTTTTACCAAAATTTATTTTCGTTCTTGAGATTCTTGTTGGTATAATTTCTAATATAGACAATAATAAATAGAGTCAACAGTACTTGCTACAATTTTGTCAACTCTCGTTCACTTACTCGAAGAACCGCCACTTGAGAACCCTCTACCACCGCTTCACTCAATAGCTATCTCACATGTTTTCTTTTTGGCCACGAATTATCAGTCAGCATTTAAAGACGTACTTTCTACTCATCCTCCGCCGATTAAATCTAAACTCGAGGCATGTATTCGATTCAATGTGTTAGAGCAGCAGCAGCAACAACGACAATTACAGGAAGAGCGAGAAAGAGAATTGGCTGAAAGAAATGAGTTGACCAAAGCACCAACTATTTCTTTGAGAAGCGATTTTACGGGATTTGCGTAATTGAACTTATAGATAGATTAAGATCTTCTGATGTATTACTTTAAAAACTAAATAGCTTGAAGAATATTCTTTTGTATATATATATATTCTGCTTTACATGTTTTTATTATTGGTACTTTAAAATTTATACTATTTTAATATTCATTATCGCATCTCGAGCTTTTTTATATTTATTTTGCAAAAACACCTGCATGACAGCAATGGTGTTTCGGAGTTTGCTCTCTTGCTCGCGATATAAATTAAGTTTAATCTCTTCAACAGTTTTAATCTCTTCGACAGGTTTAATCTCTTCGACAGGTTTAATCTCTTCGATAGTTTGAATCTCTTCGACAATTTGAATCTCTTCGACAGTTTTAATCTCTTCGACAGTTTTAATCTCTTCGACAGTTTTAATCTCTTCGAGAGTTTTAATCTCTTCGAGAGTTTTAATCTCTTCGACAGTTTGTTGTGGTTGGGATTTTGTCGTTGGCGGTGGTTCAACGTGTTCTTGTGGTGGTGGTTCTACAAGTGAATTTTCAGCTTTGTTATTAATATTTTCGTCGTCATTTTGTTGAGGTTTTGTCGGTAGCGGTGGTTCAACAGTATGTTCTTGTGGTGGCGGTTCTACAAATGAATTTTCAGCCTTGTTACTAACATTTTCGTCGTCATTTAGTTGAGGTGTTGTCGGTGGTGGTGGTTGTTCAACATGTTCTTGTGATGGCGGTTCTATAAATGAATTTTCAGCCTTGTTATTAACATTTTCGTCATCATTTTGTTGAGGTGTTGTCGGTGGTGGTAGTTGTTCAACATGTTCTTGTGATGGCGCTTCTACAAATGAATTTTCAGCCTTGTCACTAACATTTTCGTTATCATTTTGTTGGGGTGTTTTCGGTGGTGGTTGCTCAATAGCATGTTCTTGTGATGGTGATTCTACAAATGAATTTTCAGCCTTGTTATTAATATTTTCGTCGTCGTTTTGTTTGGGTGCTGTCGGTGGCGGTGGTTCAACATATTCTTGTGGTGATTCTACAAGTAAATTCTCGGCTTTGTTATTAACATTTTCCTTTTCGTCGTCGTTTTTCTGGGATTTTGTCTTAAGATTGCCTCCTTTTTTCGACTTGGAAAAAAATGCGCATTTTGGTGCTCTTTTACGATGTTCTTTGCTAAATAAAATTCAAATAACATGAAATCGAATTAATCAAAATACAAAATTCTTCAAAATTTATTCTATTGTATTCTTACGTTGGATCATCTTGAGGTTCCCATCCATCTAAACATAGCCCACAATTGATGCACGTCGCAGAATCATCTGAATCAATGGTTGGCGTGTAATGGAATCCCGCTTTTGCCATCTAAATTAATTCATCGGTAAATTCATAAGTATCAATTTTGATCGATAATCAATACCTTCTTTATAGTTAAAGTCCCTAATATGGACTTTAACTATTAGGGCTGTGGCCAAAACTAGTTTTGACTACAAAATTTGGTTTAGACATAAATTTTATTTAGGCAACCAGCCCTAATAGTAATTATTACGGTAATAACCTTTTCAGGAGTGGCTTTATAGCCTTTACTCGAATGTGGCCAACTCTTAAACGAGTCCAAACGATTTTCGTAAATGTTCATTGCCATATTTTCATAATTATAAAAGAATACAATTTTACAGAAGTTAAAACGCGACGATTTGCTCAAGACGCGATAAGATGCCAGTAGACCTCACGTGGTGTCTATAATCACCAAAATCTCTCGACGTCATAAAATTTTTCTGATCGACCATTAACGTTAGTTTGTTCGTCTTGTATGTCTCCACTTCAATTCACGTTAAATGAAGTTTATTTTATATTTTGTTCGTTCTGGTGGGTTTCACCATCATTTGATATATGGTTTCCCACGTAGCATAAAACCATACTCTACTATATCTTCCTGTTTTTATTCGGTTTTACCCCAAGAATTTGTAGATAATACTTTTAAATCCCATAAAGTACATACTAAAGGGTTTGCACCTAGTTTGTTTGTCTATAACTCTGCACCACCGTATGGAGGAGAAACTGCTGCAGCGAATACCTCTGCCGAGTCTTGGCTAAGTGACTCAGGGACTACTTCGCCTATATCAAAACAGTGTAATTTCATGAATCAATCTAGTTCCTCTCCTTCCTACACATTATTAAAAGAAAACATTAAAAAAACCTTTCTGACAAATAACTCTTTAAAAAATGGATATGGATACATGTTAATTAATAATCACGTAGGATGCAAAAACGACAAAACATTGTTAATGTCTTCACTGAAGAAGCAGTTCATTTCAATGCCACCATCATCCTCTTTAATAGTGTCGCGATGCAAAAGAACATTTTTTGTAACGCGTCGATTATATTCGACCGCGGAAAATATCGAGATGTTTCCAAAAAAACGTCCCACCAAAGCGGAACTGCTTGCAAATTCTAATGGTTTTTTTGATCGTTTAATGATTCGGATTAAGCTTCTGTTAATGAGACAAGTTCGCCCTTTTACAATGGAAGACATTATGGCTTTGTTTTCTTGGGTGTTTGTTGGTAATACATTGTTTATAGTGATCGGGACTACGACATTTGTTAGTCTTATATTGGCAGCAGCTAATACACTTCGATTTCAGGGTAAGCAAGCTTTTCTCATAATATTATATTGGAATTATAGTATCTCTTTTTTAATTATCATTGATTTCAAAGAATTCATTGCGAGACGGATCGGAAATTATCTTACCAGAGAGACCGGAATTACGGTAATATTTGAGTCTGCCATTGTGCCGCATTGGAGAGACGGCAAAATCAGATTAAAGAATGTTTCTGTGAAAAGGCTTCCATACAAAGATTATCAACTTCCGAGTCGCATCGCATTTGCAGAATCGAATAAAGAGATTGATACAACCTTGTCAATGTTTGACTTGACTATTGAAATGATTGATGTTGAATTATCTTTCATGAGATGGCTGGATGGTAAGCATTCAAATAAATTCATGTGCATTGATAGCTATTTTATTGATATTCGTTTATTTCGTCATTTATAGGCAAAGGATTAGTAAAAAATGCAACGATGAAGGGTATCCGCGGAGTGATAGGTAATAAATGCCCTCAATGTTTCACCTGGTTTTACGTTGTCAATATTTTGCAGTTACCAACAATTATTGTCTTTCTCAATTAATCAGATCGTAGTGATGTCCACTGGGATCCATCTATTCCTTATAATCCATCAGAATGGCGCCGAAAGCCACAGAATGGAGATTTCGAACTTGAATCACTTCTAGTAGAAGATTTATTAATCACTGTTTATCAACCAGAAGGCTTTCGTCCATACAATGTTTCTATCTTCACGGCTGATCTTCGACAATTTCGAAAACAATGGCTCTTGTACGATATTTTAAGCGCAGAAAATATTGTTGGAATGTTTGATAATTGCTTGTTTAGTGTGCATCGGCCACAAATGCAAAAGACTACCACCAATCAAGATTTGAGAGCGGCCAATATTAAGAAAAAGGTAAAGAATTCGAATAACTTCTGATTATTTGACGCGTTTTTTCTTGAATTGCTTCTTTTCATGTTCTTCAATGAATACCGTTATCATGTTCAGTCTTCATTTCGAGTCGATGGCTTAAATATTGATCATCTCAATACTGGAGTCACTGGTCCTTTTGGTTGGATTACATCCGGTACAGTAGATATCCGTGCGGACGTGATGTTTCCGATTGAACCCAATAATGATCCCATTGTCAAAATAGTCAATGATATTGTGGACAAAATCGATAATGTGGTAGTTCAACAACGCGCATTTTCATTCATACGCAATCACGGCGTTAATATTGAATGTGAGCCTCATAGTAAGGATAATTATGACTCATTATCTCAACCATCAGCGCCTGTTCTTACATTGTCTTTTGAGATGAAGTTTCATGATATCAAAGCTAGCGTGCCATTAATGACTCCAGATTTATCCTATATGAACGCTGCATTGATAAGATCAATAGTCGCTTACATGAATAACAACAAAACAGTTATAACGATACAGGGTTTAATCGTAAAACCATTGGTATGTTTTATTATTTATTTCATTTTCAATTGATAATGCTCGAAAACTTACAAATATTATAAATAGAGCGACTTTGATGGATCGTGGACTTTGTATGACTGTAGCTTAGTCAATGATTTTTCAATTGAGATTGGTAAAGGTTTTGCTAATCTTACAATGAACGCGCAAAAACGTAATCGACAACTGAAACGCGTTGGATTGTGGGGATTACAATCAATGACTAAAAATATCGCAAATATTTGGGATTATGCTACAGGACATCGAGGTTTTTGGCACTATGTGGGAAATATGCCTATATAATAAGTCACCGAATAGAGTATTTATCTTATTATAAATACTATTTTGTATATATTATAATTATTCAAAAAAAAAATTTTGGACGTGTCGTTATTTTAAGATTAAATTGTTTCAATGAATCAATACTATTAGCTTTTGGATTGGTATCATCATTGCTTTTCACACCAATATTCTTTGCTTCATCCCTTAACTCATACAATTGCCCAATTTGTTGCTCGCTAAATTTTTCCAGACTATCCAAATCTAATTTTTTCCCCAATTTAGGTATTATTACACCTATTTTATCCTTTTTTTGTTCACGCATTTGTTTCTTCAATTCCTCTAAATAAACTTGCCATTGTCCAATAAATCCCACCACATGCACCGGATTATCAACATCCTTGTGTCTTTTGAATTCTGCTTTCACGTACGCATCTCCTAAAGCTCGATGGGCCGCCGGTAAATGACGATGCGTACGTAAAATTTGTCGATAGAGTATTAATGGAGGAGGTAGCGACTTGTTTGGGTTTAGAAAAGGTTTTGTCGCTGACATGGAAATTAAATAAATACGTACCGAGATACATGTACATACAAACTCGAAATTGCGAAGAATTTATAATTTTTTAGGTTGCACAGAAAAGTTAATCGAAGATCTTCAAGATTTTTTCCGGCTTATTGTCGTTATATAAAAATGTATCGAATTCCTCGAGCTGTTCCTTGGACCTCAATAGATGAATACGAACAAGTACATCAATGGCTTTATGCAGAAACTGCAGAATTGCAAGATTTGGGCGTAAAAAGGGTATTATGTCATTTATATTGTTGTATATTTGACACGTATATTCAAAACTGAAAATGCCATAGGTCAAAGCGTGGTCCAGTCGTGGTCAAGTCCCACACGCAATAATAAGTACCGCGTCATTTGTAGAAGTATCAATGCGTGACAGTTATTGTAATGATAATCATTCTATGAATCGAATATCAGAACATGAACTTCGGTTGTTATATTCTATGGTCTTTATCAGGTCTTTATGTACACAAAAATTCAACTTATTATTTATTGCTTTGATTATAAATTAATGATTTTATTATTAGATTTGTCAATGGAATGGTGGACCCAGCACAAAAAGGAGTTTATGCAGTATCAATTGCCACATTGGCGACAAAACTCAATTTACCGTTATGGTTTGTCGAGTTAAGGCATGCTGGTACACATGAAATTTTACCGAGTTTGCAGATTTTGCGGAATGGGGTTCAGCAGGTAAGAAATTATTATCATTCACTTATATTTAATATATGTTCATCTATTTATTTATTTATTTAAATTTAGGCGTTAAATTGGCTCAAAGAAAATTATTGGACTTCACAAAAACCACTGTTCACATTACAAATCAACGATATTCGAGGATCAATTCAAAAGTACAAGAATCTACAAAAACAGTATCTAAAAGGTATCATACCCCTATCCCCTTTATATGTTATGTTAATCTCTTTGCTATATTTTTTCAAACTATTATTATTTTTCATATAGTTTTTTACATTCTGTAGACGCCAAACCAAATCAAAAAAGTAGAGACTCCATGAAATCAGATCAACAGAGCCGATTGGTGTCCTCGGAAACAGCTCTAAACATAGTGAAACAGATTCAGAGAGCAATTAGATCAACGAGTGGTGTTGGTGATTCTGTGATTCCTATCTTGTTAGAAACGGGATTTTTGGTTCCAATAGGGAAAAAGTAATAGTTTATAGTTAACAAATCTTTACTTAGTTTGTCAAACTGAATGAATCTCTTCTGATAAAAATTTAATAGAAAACGTGTCACGCCACCAGACTATTCTCTAACAGACGAGTTAATACAATTATGGGCGCCATTACTACAAACACTCGACGAATTTTTTGATAATTTTGGGAATGAGTTAATTCAGGGAATATTGGAAAAATTAGATTTTGATGTCTTCGAACAAGTTAATATAACGACGAGTCATAGTTATTTGATGACTTTAGGTGAGCATTAATTCATTTGTGTTTCTATGTGTGTCTCATCTGATTTAATAAACTTATATTGAATTTGTTAGTTTCTTGGATCCAACACATATTAAATATATATTATGAGGATGAATTCAACTCGACATGTTTTAAAGATATTCATATAGACAGCATCTTGGAATTTTGTTTACGGAAACCTAATCCATTGTACGTGTTTTTCTTAATCTTATCTTCATAATTTAAGTAACAAAAATCTAATTGGGATGCGATGATATTGGATTAGCACGAGAATTATACTCCAATATTTGATTGACAACGATGATGGTAATAATTCAGAATTGAAATCAAGTGTAGCCCCATTTCTTAATTATATCGATAGACTTTTAGAGACCGGGAGACAAACTAATCTTGTATGTTAATTAGTAGCCTATTTATCTTATTGCATCTTGTGAATGAATAATATTGACTATCTATCGTATTGCATCTTTTGAATAAAGAAGACACAATTCAATAACACTCCAACACAACAACAGCTTACGGATCAAGAGATGAACGACATGATAAAAAATTTGAAGAGACAATTGAAGGAATCAGCATCATTTGAGGAGGTAAGATTGCTTATGCATATTGTCATAACCACCAAGATTTTAATTACCTTTATTTCATTAGACAATTTCAGATGATCAAACCACAACTACTTCAAAAATGCCTTCCATTTTTTCAGCGTGGACTTTATACGATCATAAAAAATGGCAATCATGCCCAATCGGATGTTTGCCAAATGGCAAAGTTGCTTGTTTAGATTTACCTTTGGAACTTGATAATTAAAAGATTTTAATAATTCAAATATGGTCATCGTTCTCGTTACACAATCCTGCAGTCTAGTCAAATGATCTGCTAAATAAATATCACGTAAAAAATTCTTGATTGTTACCACATAATGTCACTAGTTCAGAACGCGTTAAGGAGAAACGGAAGAAACGGACAACCACCAACACCAAGAAATCATAATCTCGTTGAACAAGAAGAAATTGCGCCATTTATTCCAATAACTTTTATTAGTGCGCCTACACAGAGACTATGTGCTCTATCTTTTTATATTTTAATTTGGAGTATAAAGTTATATCATATCTTTATCGACAACGAGTCTTTTACATGGACTTTAATAGTCTGTTGTTTCGTGGATGTCGTGTACTTTGTGATACTATGGAGTTTGCAAATACCTTGGCTTCAGTTTCGGTTCTGGACTTTGATTTTTTCTATCGTGACATCTTGTTTACTTGACCTGACTTTACTATATCCGCGTTGGGTATGTATTATATCTATCTCTCTATATTACAAAGTTTATCATTTTTTTTATTGAATTAATGTTAAATAAACAGCCAATAGATGTTGGTTTAACCGCACCAGTGACAAACTTTTCCAGTTGGACATCAACCTTTAGTAAGTTTGCTCTACTATTCAATTCTATCAGAATAATTTCGCTCTTTTTTGCTTCTTTAAATGGGCTGAAAAATAACAACTACATCACAAGCAAGAGCATCATCATTCCTATTCGGCTTACTACTGTGTGTGCATGCAGATTTTAAGCTCTCTCTCCACTCATTATTCACTCAATACAATAAATGGTTAATTAGTCCGACAACAATACGCTAAATTATGGGTGAACAAAGTTCGCGCTGTCAGTTCAGAAGATACGGTCAAAATTAATGGTAAGATTAATAACAGCATAAGTTCATAATGTTAGAAACATTCATTCTAATTTCTTATGGTATTTTAGAAATCAGATATAATACCTCGCACATAAAAGGAAAACATACAGTTCGTTATTTACCCTACGCCACTGCAAAATTAAATCCTGATGATTTAAAATTATGTTTGCATCGAAAAAAGCAGCAACCCTCTAAAAAAACAGTTGGCTCAAGTGTTAACCTACCAGTACTCTTTAACAACACAATACCAAAGACTATAGAATATTCGCGTATTGATACTGAAACGGGAGAAAAGGTTTTGCTTAATTTCACAAAGCGAGACATTGAAAAACATAGGGTGGTTGATAAGGCTATGAATATTGCCTTTGTGTATATTCCGGTACAAATTCCAGGAGTGTATCGTCTTGAACAAGCTTGGGATTGGCACTGGATGAATATAAAAATCTATCGAAAAGAAGAAATTATAGCGTATTGTCCGGATGCAAAATTTTCATCTAAAGTTGGTCAGCATCGATGTCTCAACGATGAGATTCCTGTGGATTTGATATTACAGGGTATCCCGCCTTTTAGTGTATATTATGAGCGTATTGTAGGTGGTATTGCAGTAAATATGACTATTGATGGTGTTGCGTCCGAAAACACCATCGTCCCGGGCTCTCGTTCCGATCAAATTTCTGGTTATCAGTGGGCACGTGATCGTATTATCGAAGTCCCTTTAGTTCTAACGACAGATATTCCCGCTCAATATTCTTTAAAAATATTGCGAATTCGGGATGCCCTTAATAACACGCACATTTATGAAAAAGAGGAAAATGCTCAATCTTATATCGAATTTACGGTTCATTCACGTCCTTCCGTAAGCTTTCTGTCTGATGCAACGATTAAAATTAAGCCTGCTGATTCTCCTAACATCGCTTTGGAATTAAAGGGCCAAGGTTTTTATTACATATTTCCATAATATAAGTAATTTCTTATTTTAGGTATTTTCTGACTGCTGATATTAAATCAAACATATGCTTTAAAAAGAACCATGGCGAATTCACATTGGGTATTGGGCAGAAGATATTGCACAAGATAATAATTTGGCAATGAATACTAGTGATATTATTGAATATGTCTTGGAGAGATCAACTGATGATATGATCAATGTAAAGAAACCGGGACTTTACAAGTTACTTTCTGTCTTGGATGCTTTTTGCTCTGGACAAGTTTTAGCACCTTCAAATATTATCGTATTGGAAGTACTTCCACCTTCTGTAATACTCGATACTATCCCAATATCAACAGGGGATTGTCCAGGCGAGGTTGGTCTCGAAGTAATCATGACTCTTACAGGATCTCCGCCATGGTAAATTCACGGTGATTATTATGCAACTTTCATAATATAAAACCTTCAATAGATGATTATTTATTTTTAGGATGCTTGAATACTCAATTGTACATCAAGGCCAAGAAAGAACTATACCAGTACAGATATTCAAAGCGCGCCACTCTTTTGCCATAATGCCGGAAACATCTGGTCAACATGATTACAAGTTCAAACGTTTGAGTGATTATTATTATCGAGATGGCTTGGAAATTGGGCGTACTATATCCCAGGTCGTTCATCCTAAGCCTGATGCTACTCTTCGGAGTTTACCTGGTGGTGGAAATCAGATAAACACTTGTGTTGGCAGTCGTGTGGACTTAGACGTAAGACTTGTGGGAATAGAACCATTTACATTAACGTAAGATCTTTCTATTCATGGATAAATTCATTTATTGGAAAAACATTATTAAAATAAATTATGTTCTCTTTTATAGATATGATGTATTATATAATCAAAGGAAAAATGCTTTCACAATTGGCGATATTCAAGGACCATACCACACTATCATGTCACCACCATTTGAAAATCCGGGCACCTATACAGTAACACTAGAAAAGATTGTTGACGCTAAAGGATGCAGCAGAATTTTAGACTCATCGAATGATGTCATTGTTAACGTTATGAAAGAGAGGCCCACAGTTGGATTTAGAACGACTAATGAAGTTCTAACTTTCCTTGAGGGTGATGATATCGATCTACCATTACAGCTCACCGGGAATCCACCGTGGGAAATAACATATCGTTATCATGACAAAATCGATAAAAACGTGTCAGCCGTCCAATTACGAGATCCTAATTCCCATCTGACCGTAAATCTACCGGGACGTTATGAATTATTAGAAGTTAAAGATCTTTATTGTTATGGAAAAGTGATTCCCGAGTTGAAGTATATTGTGGTTGCATGGATCCCTCGACCAAACATGAAAATAGTCGAAGGAGAAGCAATACAAATTTCACAAGATTATTATCAACGAAAACATGTATGTGAAAAGACCGAAGATGGTATTTCTGTGACGTTGCAAGGTCGGGCACCTTGGGTGGTGAATTACAATATCCAAGCAGAAGAAAATTATCTACAAAAGCAAGAAATTATTGGAGGTTATTTGACTCGTATTCCGCTTCTCACAGATACACCTGGAAAATATCGATATGAGTTCTATGAAATTGCCGACGATGCTTACATAAAGCTCCACCCGATGTCTTTAACACTCGAACAGACAGTTATCAAAAATCCAAATGCTCGATTTTCTCATTCAATTGGTACAATTAATCACTGTGTTGGTCACTCGCTAACTGAAGATGATACACCTTTAATTGTAGAACTGGAAGGCGTGGCACCATTTACCGTTTTATTTGAAATTAAACATCAAAGTAGTAACATGGTGGAAACTTTAACAATCGATGATATTTACGAGAAAAAATATAAATTCCGACCAAGGACAAAATTCTCGATGGTCGGGAAGTATACAATCACTATACTCCACATCATAGACTCTCAAAATTGTAGTAGAATACCAGAAGGTCCAGATAAACAAGTATTGATAAATGTTTCGGATGTTGCCTCAATTGAAAGACTCTTTCCTCAAGAAATTCATTGTGTTGGAGATTTGTTGATTTACTCGCTGCAAGGTTTGTATTTTCAAATTATTGTTCATCGTGTGTGTGGAAGTTAACTAACTCTGAAAATTCTTCCTGCTTAAATAGGTATCTCCCCATACTATATAACATACACATATAACGGGGAAACGAAACACGCAATGTCAAAATCATCTGAATTCACATTTGGCGCTGATAAACCAGGCAATATGACAATCACCAAAGTATGTCATCAAAACGACATGTGTTGTGGTTACCCAACAGACTTTTCCGAGGTAATATATGATCTTCCGACGGCAATTGTCTCTGAAGGAAAAGACATTATTTCGGATATACGTGAAGGAGATAAAACGGAAATCATTATTGAATTCATCGGTAAAAATATTATTAAAGTTATTGATCTTTTCATTTGTCCTTAAAATATATTTCGATCTCTATATTTATTATTCTCAATCACTCTCAAATACAAAAAGGCATACCACCTTTTCGTTTTACATATACACGCAGCGAGATATTACCAGATGGAAAACGTGGAAAAGCCGGGCATGTCTTAGAAACTCAAACTGTATTAAATGTTCGAGAAAATAAATACTCCATTTTTACGGCACAAGAAGGTTTTTAATCATATAAATCTAAATTCTATTTTTTACTATGTAAAGATTTCGCTAAACACTCTTATTTTTTTTAAATAGGGATATTTCAAGTGACTTATATCGCCGATAAGTACTGTGAATATCCGCGAGTTGCGAGTAAACATGGTTAGAAGAGAATGAAATATAAACTTAGATTTGCCATACAATTTTAATGGCGTATATGGCTCACCACGACTAATAATTATAATTTATATAATGTTCGATTTGACTATCAATTCAAAACAACTGCAGCTACTTTGCAAACTATGAATTTCTTTGCTTAAAAAAAGTATGGAACTCGTTGAGTATGCATGTTGTATCGGTATTACAAATCTTTTATTAACTTTAATAAAAATGAATTCAAGAAAAAAACCTTTGATAGAATACAGTGTTTTATGTTCGGTGCATCTTTCCTAATATTCAATGACGATCAAGATAAAAATACGATTCGAGATTAATTGATAAATCGTATTCTTACAAGTAATATCGATATGGCGCAATGCACCTAAACTCATCACAAATTTTATGTTCTAAATTCTATAAATTTCTTAAATTAGGAAGTAAATACAAAATTCATCCAATAAAATGATAGAATAGTCTTTCTTTGTATTTACTTCCTAGATAAGAAGTTTATAGAATTTAGAACATAAAATTTGTTGATGCATATGCAAAGAAAGAAATTAATGAAAATCTTTATTTTAAAATTAAGAATATTTGTTTCTCTTTCAGCAGATTTTGCTCCGCAAAATTTAATTCTGAATACTGCTCAAGTACTTTTTGACTTCTTAACGAGTTCCTTACGTATTCTTTAATATTGTTTCTAATTTTGCAATGTCTTCAATTGTGACTCTTAATATTGGTGGTATACTTTATAATACAACAAGTGACACACTTTTAAAATTCGAAAGTTTCTTTTCTAGTCTTCTTTAATATTTTTATTGACCGAAACGGCGAATTATTTAAATGTGCTCGAATATTTAAGAACAAATACTTTACCAAAAAGAGCACTTGCTAACCAAGCATTACTTGAAGAGTTGTTGCAAGAAGCAGAATTCTATAGCATCGAGAAACTTGTCACTGAGATCAATTCCAGACTGGTATCCGTACAACCCGACAAGAAAATCTATTCATGGGAACTTAATGATTACTTGGAAAAAGGTTATCATGTGGTTGGATTTGGTATTGAGCCGTTTTAATATACCCACTGGATCAAAATTAGGGGAAAAAGAAATCATTAAAAGTTAAACTTTAATTCTGTAATACTAGGTAATTATTTCAGTTTAGCAAGATTTATTCAACTGTGAAGTTCAATTAGATCAATTATATACTCCAAGTAAATTAATCATATCCTTCTGATAGTTACCCAAAAAAGTACCGGTCACGTGATTTACGATCATATCCTGACACCGGCTGAATATCCGATTTCCAGACATAATATTATATTTCAGCATTATATTCAAGAGTTTATTTATCCAGCAGTTATTGTTACTTTGACTTCTCGCAGTACTTGTATTTTAGCAATTAGAATATTTACTATAATAATGAATATTATGATCCGAACATAGTATTATATATATTAAAAAATATAGATATATAACTAGATTAATTATAAACAACATATTTTATTATATTTGTATAATAGATTTTTGCATGATCATTCCTTTGCAAATTATAAAACTAAATCATTTTATTTACATAAATATTCCAAGTGAAAGTGCATAAATAATTCATGCACCAAGTTATCTGTTGATCTTTATTGAAAAAAGCTTTGAATGAATATTATGATCTTAAATATTTAAACAAATAAAAAAATCATTATTATTGTAACCTGAATTAAAAAGTGATCTCAAGTAAAGATGTAATGATTCTTTTATATGCCAAGTTGTTCATTGATTTTTACTGAAAAAAATTTTAAATTAACACAATAATTATAAATATCTAAACAAAAAAAACTTATCATTATTGAACTCTGAGTTAAAATATCATCTTAAGTAAAGATACAAAAATAGTTCTATATATCAAGTTATTTGTTGATCTTTATCAAAAAATATTCAAATTAATATCACAATTATAAGTACCTAAACAAATAAAAAAATCACTTATTATTATTGAACTTGTAATTAAATTATCATATTAAGTAAATAATTCCATGTGCTAAGTTATTTGTTGACTGTTACTGAAAAAATTCTTTAGATTAATATTATCAGAAAATTTTTATATTTAATTATAATTGATTATTATTTAATAATTAATTATTCATTACCAATCAATTAGTAGTAATTATAATTAATTATAATTAATTACAATTATTTATTGATTTTAATAAAATTATATAATTTTAATTGATTTTTAAATTTAAAGCAATTATAAAAGTATTTCATCCTCCTAATTTTTTATAAATACAAATATTGATCATCAAAAAATTTTTTTAAAGAATAAATATTGATTATTATAATTAATAAACAAATAAAAATATTTATAATAATTATTATTTGTAATAATTATATTTTAATTAACTAATTAAGATCTAAATTAAAGTTAAAATTAAGATTCTGAATATATAATTAATTAATATTAAAGTTATTATATATAATAGTTATTAAAATTAAATTAATTCAATAAATAAATAATAATTTATTTATATTCAATGAAAATTATTAATTTTAAATAAATTATAATTAATATTATATTGTTATCATTTTAATGGAACTTTCAAAATACTCAAAGATATTTATAAAACTTTAAGAAATATTCAAAGAGAAACTTCCAATATCTTAATGATAATTTAAAA